TTCTGGCAGTCACTACCCAAGTCCAGATTGTAACCTCCTTTCTGCCTCCAAAGCCTGCCTTGGCTCCGTGTCCAGTGAGGGATTATGGATTTAGCAAGGAAGGTAAGTGTGACTACAAGCATTGGCTCACCATCTGCTCCCCAGCAGAGCATGGGCCAACCTGCATCGCCTGCAGCAAGACCAGGGCACTGTTCTGCAGCCAGCCCTTTCCAACCTGGCTCAAGGCACACAGCACATTCAGTCAGATGATTAGGTCTAAGTAGTCCATATGTAACAGAATATTTTTCCTAAATACCAAAATGAAAACAAAATGAATGCCATTTTTTTCATTCTCCTTACTCGATACATCAAGTTTTACACAAATAAATACTCTCTTAAGGTTTATGCAAATGATAGAAAAATAAAACTATGCATTATTTAGCAGTTCTCCTATTTCAAGATCTAACAGACTTTATTCACAGCATGTTTTTCCCTAGTTTATGCTGGCCTTCTTTTCTGATTCGACTTTTTAATTCATCTTTTTAAATTATTCCTTTTTAAATCATTATCTTATGTGTCTTCATAGATTTTCATGTATTAATCTATTATTAATTTTTACTATACTCAACTTAATCTTAAATTGTTTAAAGCTCTTTTAAGAGTAAACACTTGCCTATGCTTTAAAAATAGCGTGTACTTTTAACATTTTACATATTTGATCCAGTAGCCTCATTGAAACCTAACTGTCAAATAAATTATAATTTTATTATGTGCATTTTTATGCGTAGAAGAATCAAGCATTAAATAGGAAAGTTAACCTTTGGGTTCCGGAATCAAGATTATTTTTCAATTCTCCAGAACTAAGACTTTCAGCCACCTACATTAGCACATTTTATTATCTTTTGTATTTATCAATAATATACTATTATATATTTTTGTCTTTTGTTTCAGGTCAAGTGCCTTAAAAAATAAAAAGATTTCCATAAATAGCAGAAAAACATGCAGTTGAAAGTAGCTTTCTGCTTCCTTTAGCCCTGTTGCTGATTTGAGCACACAGAGTGAACATGAAAATAAGCTGAACAAACATCTCACCATTTTTACTTAAACTGTTGTCTGCCTGACTGCAGAATGCACACAGAAAACAATCTAAAATTGTATAACCCATAATACAGTATATTAAATTACAACATTGGTCAGTAATGGAAACTTATTCCCAGATATAAATTATTTACAGCCCATTTAAGTAATCCATATTCAGGTGTGGCAATGAAAAAAAGTGCAACATAAATCTTTAATGCTGACCGGTTGAGAGAGCAGAGCTGAGGATTACAGGCATTTTAAAGAAAAAAACTAAACGAATTGATATAGCCTGTTCAGTGGCTTACTGCACCAGCGTGCTAATAAATTGACGGATGGCGTGTCAGCGGTAGGAGTTGAAATCCTAGCATTTCTAACTAAGGCGGGATCTAATATCAGACTACCAAAATAAGGAGTTTCTGAACCTGGTTGTCACAGGAAACAGCCTGTGCATCTTTTTGTATATGCAAGTGTTCAAAATATCCTATTTCAACATGAAAATCCATGAAGGATTTTTTTAAAATTAACTCAGTAACTGCATTAGTAATTTCAACGAGCCACATAAATTGTGTTATAAAACAGAGAGGGTATATTAAAGGTAAGCATTTCTTTTTCTTCTTCAAGGAGTTGGGACCAATGCTTTATTTTGGGAAATAAACTTATCAAAGAAATCCCTTTAATCCTGTTTTACATTTCCATAGTATATAGAATAGAATTCATCAACCAACTTAAAGGGGGAAAGGAAGCAAAGACTTCTGGAGTGTTTTGCACTATTTTTAATACAAATTGTGCAAGTGGTTAGCTACTTCAAACTGAAGTATAAAAGATCATGGTAGGGGGGAGGGGGGTGGGGCCTTCATGTTGCAATTTCTTTTGTTTCCTGGAGCAGTACCTATATTAATTCATCTTACAAAGATCATTGCTCAGAACTAAATTTTGCATATATTAGAAAGCAGAATTAGCATTGCACTGTGTACAACATTCCACGCTAACTTCTCTCCAAGCAACCATTAAAGGTCATGTTTTGACGACTGAATGGCATGTCGGCACCTTGGTTCCCTGGAGAGGCATTCCCCAGGTACATGCAAAAGGTTATTAAATTACCTTCCGAGCAACACTATCTCTTCGGATGAAAATAATTACAGGCTTTTAGAGGCATCAGAATGCTTTCTTTCTTTCTCTCTCTCTCTTTTTTTTTTTAATAAGATGAAGATGCAGTACCTAATGACCATTTTTGTGTGTGAGTCATATAGCCTGTCAGTGGTGACAGGACAAATGAGCGTAATGGCATAGCTTAAAGGGGAAAGGTTCATTTTAAATAGTGACAAATAATATTTAAATGGCATTGTTGGAGACCCATCATGCTTGTAAAATGTAGTTTGTATCTCTTCTTCATCCTTTAATTTCATCACTGTCAAATGGCATTAGCTGTTAACATGCAACATCAGGTGCAGATATAATTTTTAACTGTTAAATGTGCCCATAACCAAACATAATATATCTTGATTTTTCCTGATTTTTTTTTTTGGTACTATGGGTAACTCATTCCATAATTCAAAAGACAAAAATGTATCTAGGGATTTGATTGTAAAGACAACTTTACTAGATGGATAAAATAACAGCTTTAAAATATCATTCCTTGAATGTTATTTCTTGTCAAGATTCAAAAATGGAAATGACTTGTTAGGCTAACCATAATTAACCTATTGGTAATATCACGGACAAGCTTACCAGCCGTAGTGATTTGGTCAAAATAGTCATGGGCAAACCAAATATAATGACATGTAGACGGGGTATACTTGGAATAAGATGGTGAGCATAAAACAGATTTTCCTTTCATGCAAATGCATAACTTCAGAACATGTAATAAGTGCAAATCACATCACTGACAAGCAAGATTTTTCTATTCTTTGTCTAGTTATGGAACTTGAAAAAAGTTAACCGAAAGTCTACGCTGTCTTTTCAGTTTTCTTGAGATAATACAGTGCCATAATAAAAAATATATGGAGAATTGGTAAATGCTGATATATCCTGTGCATAGAATTGCAATTCTAATTTCAAACTTTCATATAAAGCCTTCTAATTCTTAAATATTTTTACACAGCTTCATCACATTTATTGCTACTTTATTATCAGATCACTTAAGCCAAAACTGGAGACAGTTTAGGTACCTTTGAGTTGTTAAAAGTTATAGCCAATTTTCTCAAAAATTATACCAGCTAAAAACACAACATTAAATATTTACCCTGTTGGATGTTAAAAAACGCTTACAATGAAAAATGTTCACATATTGACTATTCAAAATGGCCTTCACTTTCAAATTGTGAAATGGAAGGGATTGCAGATGTACAAGAATAAATATAAAAACAAATGAGTTGACTTGAAGTGTTGCCGGCTTTCATAAACATGCTACTGCAATAACATGTGACATTAATATTTAATTACAAAAGCACTGCTGCAAAATCTTTGAAATTAATGTTTTGCAAAATTAACATTCAGTGCACAGAAGCAAAGTCGTTCCAGGCGCGACTGTGATTAACAATGCCATTCACTTTACATATTATATTAATATATTATTCAAGCTACGAATTAACACCTCCTAATTTAAATAAGGTGCTACATATCATGATGAACTAAAATGCTTTTCTTAAAATGGCCCATCTGATTTTAAGCAATCTGTGTTTATCATTTAATATTTTGTTATTGAATACTGTTCTCTGTAAAACTCCTTCCACTTTAATTTCAAGCAGAGGAGACCTCATTAAACTGGTGCCTTCCGTTTCTAGGACTGTTAAGCCTTTTCAACCATATTTTGTTTGCTAGCTATGCCAGCAGTACTGAAATACTACTGTGTGTATGAGTGTGCTCGTAGACAGCCATACTTTTACTTTTAGGGCTCTGAGGGATTCTCCCAAGCAATGTACTTCTTTGCTTTCAATGAGACACTTGTTTGCACAAATGTCGCCACTATCATTGTGTCACAGATTTCCACTTATTCACTCCAACTGAGGTGAATCAGTTTCTCAGAGGGAGGAGCTGAAGTTTCAAAACTGCCTCTCAAACTGAACCTCAGAGGTTACCAGGTCCCTTTGAAAGTGTGAAGAGACTTGGAGATGATGTGAATTTCTCATTCTAAACTATGAATGTGGGATAACCATCATTCCTGTTCAGAATCCATTTATCAGGAAGGAGTTCAGAGGGCTATTTCTGTTTTCCTGAGCCCAATGCAAAGAAGAGGTTGTTGCTTGAAGAAAAACAAAATACCTGAGCAGGTAAAAATCAAATAACTCTTTAGACGTCATTTCAGAGCCTTAAAATCTTGGTCCATCGTTACAACTTTGGGGCAACAAACTGCAATGATAATTTGTTACCATAGTGTTTTTGATATGTTTGAAACGAAAAGGCAATTATTGATGCTCTGAGGAAATATTTAGTAAAAAAAAAAAATCCATGTCTAAGACACCACAGGATAATTTTGGTGTATTCTAAAACAGTTTCTAAGTTATAGTACCTTGGTTTCCCAGCCACTCAACAAATGTATGGAAATTATGAAATTGGGCTGCAACTATCTCACAATTTTAGGATCCTGGAATGAAAAGAAGCTTTTGTTCATCGGTTCTAGGCGGTATTTCTAGATATCTCCTGTGTCGTGTAATTCGGACACAGGTTCATTTATCTGACAGAATAAGTAACAATTTTGAGATCCTAAAAAAATGGAAAGATCTTTAGCAATCCAAAACCACCTTATATTTAACCTACATGAATAGTGTAGAGACCAGTAGGATATTAACCAGTGAGACATTAAGTATACAGTTGCATTTTCCCACTTTGCTAAAAAAGCACCAAACCCTTTATATTGGAACAAGTTTATCTTAAAAGCCTAGACTAATCTTGGTTGGCCTTACATTCAATATCAATCTGTTATTTTATTTAATTAATTTCAGAGACAGGATCTCATTCTGCTGTCCAGACTGGAGTGCAGTGGTGTGATCATAGCTCATTGAAGCCGCAAATTCTTGGGCCCAACAATCCTCCCCGTCAGCCTCCAGGGTAGGTGGAACTACAAACACGTGCCACTAGGCCCCCTTGTCAATCATTTCTTGCTCATCTGCCTTCTAATTTTTTATTAATGTATTACACATCTATCCTTTTCCTGAAAAATGATGTTTCTTTTAATTATTTTATAAAGGAGTATTGTAGTTCAGTGTTACGTGTCATTTCAACAGGAGAAACCCTATTTATTAATGTAAAATTATAAATAATGGTTTTGATGATAATAATGATGCAATGGAACTTTCAAAGATTGTACACTTCTTTTTAAGGAAGACTCATTTCCAGCTCAGTAACATATTTTAGCTATTCAATTAGCAGATTCAAAGAATGTGGAAGAAATTAGAATTTTTCAATGAAAAATAATAGAAATAGAAATAATCTGTCTATGCCTTTCACGCAAAAGAATCTGTGAAATGTTAGTCAATGTGAGTTGGTCTACCATCAGTTCTGCAGTATTTAATAGGAAGATAAAATAATATTCCATAGTTATATAAAAACTTTAAATTCTGAATTAAGCAAAGTAATGTTTTTATTGAGAACTTCTCACAACCTTGATGTTAATTTGTATTGTGGCTCTACATGTAGAAAATATAACACATACAAATTTCCTCAAACTTATTTGACCACAGAAAATTTTTCCACAGATCATCATGAAAAGTGTGGGCCACATTTTGGAAAATATTAGTCTTAAAATGCTAATCATGTGTGATTGAAATTAACTCCCAAATATTTAGGTGTTTTGAACACAACCACATTTTAAAGATCATTGTTTTAGGCTGGGCGCAGTGGTTCATGCCTGTATTCCCAGCACTTTGGGAAGCTAAGGCAGGCTGATCACCTGAGGTCAAGAATTCAAGAACAGCCTGGTCAACATGGAGAAACCCCATCTCTACTAGAAATACAAAAATTAGCTGGGTGTGGTGTAATCCCAGCTACCCAGGAGGCTGAGGCAGGAGAACTGCTGGAATCCAGGAGGCAGAGGCTACAGTGAGTGGAGATCATGCCACTGCTCTCCAGCCTGGGCAGCAGAGCAAGACTCCATCTCAGAAAAAAGAAAAGAAAAAAGATTATTGATTTATTTCAATGACTCTAGAAGGTGAAGGAAGGAAAATCTATTTTTTGAAAGTCTATTAAATAAATCTTAAAAACAATTTTCTGGTAGTAACTTCTTAACAATATTTATTTATTTATTTAGATTGCAGTAGTACATAAAGAAAGCTCTTTAAACAAATGTTTTCTAAACTATACATTTCTCTGGAAAATATATCGTAAAAATCTAAAAATTACTAAATATGTTAGGGTATTCTTTGCCAAAAGGGGGGCCATTAAAAATACTGCAATAAATGTAAACCAAACTGCAAAGAATTGGAATGTTGTTCAAAAATTGAAAGGTTATTCAGGGTGAAGTTTTGTCTTAATTCTTTTGTCTGTTTCTTATGATTTAGTACAAGATACAGGTTTCTAGGAAATCCACATCTTCTAAATAAATATGTTCTATAAATAGTGAACTGATCCTTTTATTTATATTTTAGATAAAAAATACTATAATGATAATCTATGACTTTCTGGAGTAAATACCATTCTCTGTTATCAAAGAGAGAAATATCATATTCCTAATTCCATGCCATATTACAGCAAAGCTCCAGGGTACCAGAGTAGTTCCTTTTCTAAATGCCAATTAGCAATTAGTTCAATCTTATTGATGTAGACACAAGATTGAAAAATGGGGAATCTTCTGACATTAATCCTCCCACCACAAGTCGGCTTAATTGCAAGCTAACATAATTACAGATGCCCAAATTTGGGCCACTACCATAGGCATCACATATCCCCCCAGGTTAAAAAGCCATTCCTGTAGAAGAAATGAACCCAAGAAACTGGTAACTCTGACCACCTAGGGCAAATTCTATTCATCATGGCAAATATATTTTGTCCATATAAGCATTTTGCTTAATGAAGGTGAAATCTGATTAATGGTGTTATATCCAGAAATTTAGTAGTCTCACTTCCTCTCTCCCCTTTTCCCCCTTCTCCTCCTTTCCAGGTGTAAATGAGCTTTGAGATCTACAGTTATTTGCTGGACAATTCCCTGATAATATTAAAGCACCCAGTAGAAGAATGTGCCTTGTCAAAAACATATCAATCACAATAATCCTTCAAGATACACTTATTATTAGTTGACTGCTTATGGCTATTTTAGACTGAAAGACCAACACAAAATGGTAAGAATAGACTAGTAGTCCTTATACATACTAAATAACAATCAGGAATTCATATTCATGCACATAATATTTTGCACTTATTATTGTCAAAAGCATAATTGGTGTGTACTGAATCCATTCCAAAACGTTTAACTTTCACAGCTACAGCATGTCTACTTCCTTTACAACTCCAGCTTTCTCTCATAGAGACCTAGATGACCTTCTGGGTGCAATATAAGCCCCAGACTTTCAAACTGCCTTTACTTATATACTATAATAGATATTTTAATGAAGACTAGTAAGATACATAAAGAGAACAGAGACACTTGACTAAATATTTCATATTTTCTATTTGCTCCTTGAAGCCATCTTACCACAAAATACATTATTTCATATATCAGAAAAATAAATAATAAAATAAAATAATAAATGGATTAGCATCCTCTAGGCAGTTTTCAACTTTTCTTTGATATAAAACGAGTTATGATCCATCTTGAAGATACTAGCTTTAATTTTAAAGGCAAAAAGTTTTCTTATATTCATGAGTATAGAGTTCTACATGAAATCTATTACAGATGTTGAAACTCAGGCAAAGGATAAAAATCCCGGGTCGTTCCAGTTAGAATACATACGGGAGGCACACAGTGCTGTATCAGTGAATCAAAGGTACACTTTTTAAAACATGCTGAAAATTAAACTAATTATAAACCTGAATACATATAGACCTAAAGTAGTTTTCACTGAGAGAAGATAATCCAAAAATAAATGTGTTTTGTGATGGTGAAACATATTTTTATATACTCTCTTCATTTTTGGGGCATAAGCAAAAAATTAATAAAATAATAGAAATAATAAAAATGATAATATTATTGCTATCATTGCAAGGAGATATTTTGTAATGTGTTTATTTTAATGTGTTGTTAAAAAGGACTGTTATATTTTAACTAACTGCCACTAAGTTTAAATTGAAATGGTGGACTCATAAACCATTCTTCTTCTACAGATCTTAATATTTTATCATCCGTATGCATATCCTTCAAGAAGCAAGCAAGTAAGGTAGCATAAATATATAATAGAAGGGAAATTGAGGCCCTGAAAGGTAATGCACTTGTTCAGCCATACACAGTGGGTTCATAGCTAAGGCTGAAATTCACATTGCTTGATTTCAGATTTATTCATTGCTTTATTGCTTTACACTTGGACTCTGGAGTTTGTTGTGGGACACAGGAAAAGCAACAATCCCTGCACATCGGTTAACAATGTCATCACACCAATACAAAAGATATTTATTATGCATCAAACAATTTATATAAAAGTTTAGTTATCTAGGGAAATACAAATATATATTTAAAAAAAGAATATACCAATTGGCCTCAGCAGAGATGTCTTCACTTGCAAAGTGACCCTCACCTAATTTCAACCTAAGAAGCTGAAATATTTTAGAAAATTACAAGTTAAAATGATTGCATTACTTTCCATCTTTAAGAATGAAAGTGAATTAATAAATGTCATGGATAGGTATTCATCCTAAGGAACTGGTCAGAATTACTGACACTGAAGACAGGAAATAAAGACTTCTTGGAGATAGTGGTGGGCTTCCATGCCTCTTAAATAGACTTTGATGAATTGATCTTTTTTCAACAATAGTTGATGCTTTCAGCAGTTCCTTTTATCTGCTCACTCAAATCAATCTAAATTTCCAAGTTCAGAATGAACATTTTTATTGGCTGGCTTTCCTAAGTGTTGACTAGATGAACAAATAAAAAGGCAATCCTCACGTTTCTTCTCAACAACTTCCAACAATGTCAAAATAGACTTTGGAAGGTCTAAATAACTTGATATGTCTTCAGAGTCCTTCGACATTTTATATTTGTATGTGTTGTTCAGGATGTTAGGAGTTACTTCATTCCTTCCAGTATCCAAATTTCTCTTATCAAACAGTTACAGATTTTTAAAAATCTACTCTACGTAAACGTCGTAGTCAGGAAGCGATTCATATAGAATAGAACACCCTCTGACTTGATTTACTTTTCCCATTTCTTTATTTGGAAAAGTGGTAGTAAATCTCCATATAAAAAGAATCTGGAGTTTTCAGCATCTTCTAGAAGATCAGAATTGAAATGACAGGTAGTGGAAGCATGGGAAAAACTGTCATCATTGAAATTCCATTCTAATTATTTAAAATCATAGATAACACTATCTTTAGGTGTAAGAGGGAATGAGAGAAGTCACACATGTAAACATGTACCTGTAGTTTGCTGCTCACACCTACAGACCAACACACATAGACACCTTTACCACTTTAAGCAACGTGAATGATTTCATAAGCTTTGAGATGAGACTGACACTTCAAAAATCACCCTAACTTCTAATTATCGTTGTAATGAAGCACCAGTTTAACACTGTTTGGTTTTATTCTTCATTAACAATTCAAAATAACAGTTTTTCTAGTCGGGAAAATAGGCAAGTGCAATTTTTCAGTACTGAAAATTTCTGAAAGAGTTAAAAAAATCATAAAGAATGACAAAGGCACTTTCAAAAAAAATAATGTTGCTATCACAGTAGAACAGTATTTCAGAGAAATAGTGCGCATTTGATGACTGTCAGAATTTACATAACTTACTCTGCATGAATTAACTATGAGACATAAAATTCAACTTTGGCTTAAATGCACATGCAGTAATTGTCATGTGACATTTTGAGGCATTGTATGACATCAAGGTATTGCCTAAATCACCAATACAAATATGTCAAAAATGACTGTGACATATAACCTTAGTGTCCCAATAGGTTAGAGAGGAAAAATGTGATGGTGTCAGTAAAAGAGCTGGAACAAAAATGGGTCCATATCTGACAGCTTGTTTAGGACTTTCTAGTTGAAATGGATACTTGTCAATTGAGTGTCCATGATCACCACTCTGATATATTAGGGTAACAAACTAGGCTCACACAAAATAACTCACAGATATCAGAATCTCTCAAAATTATGAACCAGGAAGAAAATCAAGTTCTAATATTTAACATCTGTCCTAGGATTCTTACCATTTATCTTCTGATCAAAATTGCAAATGGTGCCAAAAGAAAAAAAATCATGAAGTCAAAAGGACTTGGTGGGGGTATCTTTGTTTCTCTCCCAAAGCCTAAAAGTTATACTCAACTGCAGCACAAAGAGTAAAGAGGTTGTTATTCATATTAACTACATTTACATTCCTAACGCAACATCCAGAGAGCTAATAGTGGGGTTATTAACATAACAAACGTAAATGTTCTATATAAATAATACTGTTTCAGGCCAGCAACCGCTCATCTGACAGCATTTAGGCACAGGCTCAACATCTGTTTATGAACACTTTGCCTAATGATATCATCAGATATCATTAAGTGCGGCAGAATACAGCATAGAGGCAGGTGCAGCTGCCTTCACAACCCATCACAGAGAAAGAAAAGAGCTGCATTCCCCATCCGAAAACCCATCATTAGGACAATTTTCTTCGACAAACCAGCCCTGTGATTTCAATCTGTATATCACCTGTAATTGTAGTTTTTAGCAAGAAGCTGATTCTATACATTTAGCGACGAATCACGTTGATGGCCTGAATACTGGAAACACATTTGTGGTACCAGCTGCGGCAGCTTTTTTTAGAGCCTGTGTTAACAAAATACTGCTAACAAGGCAATGCTGGGAGTGCAGCTTTGTTTCTCTTTCTTGTTCATAGTGTTTAGATGTGCATAATTATGGAAATTAGCAATTGATTGCTTCTCAATAATAATTGATTACTGGTCACTGAACTCTTCTGTAGCACTTTACCGAAGGTGAGGACATGAGATAAGTGAATTCTTACCAGTTCCAACCATATAGAAAGAAAGAGACCAAAAAGAACTCTCGATTTGTACATCAGTTTCCATGATAAACAGACCAAAGGGATAATAGAATATCCCAGAATCTAGTTTGCCCTGAAGCAAATTGTAGAGATCATAGCAAGCCTGCAGAAATCTCCCTGTGGACCATGTAAGAAACATACATCATTTTTATATATGTCAGTTGGTCTTTGATTTGAAAATATTTCTACCCATTTAATTTATCTCTTTCAGTCAGTTTTCTTAAATTGTACAATTTAAGGGTTATATCAAAAAAATGAATACCAATTTTCAACACCTCTTAAATTGAAACAAACTGACAAAATAATGTGAAGTCTCTTTTTGCAAAGAGGTACAAATTCAGAAGCCTATCGTCTCAGACAGATAGCGAGCACTTCAAAATGATTCTCCTCTTTTTGATCTGCTGTATATCCATCAACATTTTGGTCTGTGCCGACTGACTTGTTTCAGTATAGCATAATGTAGGGAATGTTACTTGATGCGGCAGCTAACATTTAAAGGAAAATGCACTTATTTTTGGCTTAATCACTACTGTCAATTTGGACATAATATATCCAATTCAAATTTACTGCAGTACATGGAAGCCTCTCAGACAATAAAGTATCCGTGGTGTTTGTTAAATGGGAAACACCGTGACTCATGGTGTTTCAAAGATGGAAAGAGCAGTAAAGAAAAAAAATTAACTCTTTATTTTGGAAGAATAATGAGTTTCCAAGTGTTTAACAAAATGCTCTCCCTGGTGTGTTTGTGAGTGTGTTAGTTGTGTGTGTGTGTGTGTGTACTAATTTGTACAGGACATGACTGTATTGTGGTAGTCAACTTTACAACCTGATTCATAAAAAATGCAGCTCAGTTAAAGTTAGTATGCTCAGTTTCAATAGTGTTTTTATCCCAAAATGGGTAGCAGATTGTACAATCATGACTCAAAAAATATGCACAAGTTATAAGAATTAGGCAACAGTTTGAGAATAAAACTGAATCCCTCCTCTCTGCCCACAGAAGGATTTCTCACATAATGAACAGGTGCAATTTCCAGAGATCTCTGTTCACTGAGATGGCAAAAGCCACTGTTTGTTGCTTTCCCCAGCAGCAACACAAGATAATATGGTGATAAAACTGCAATCAGAATCTGAAAAGCCACATCACATATATGTACAATTCTATTCTCTTAGTATATATTGCAAACACAAATTCAAATTCCTAGCATCCTAGCTCTTTAACATTTATGCACTGAATAATATAATTACAAATTTTTGCACTACTCTGTACACAAAACCTGCAAAGAAATAAAATAAAAGGAATTTAGGCAATGTGTGTGAGTCCATGTGCTTACGCCATTATGTTAGTGCCAAAAGCGTAAAAAAAAAAAATACAGACAGATTCCCTGTAATATATCTCTGAGTTTATTATCAGCATGACATTTTAATGTGTGTTATTAAAATTATATTTTAGGGGTTGGGGTGGGGTTCAGGTGGAAGAGGACTTTGGAATATTGCAAGAAGTTGCACATAAAAATGATTTTGGTAACCTAGTGATGTCCTTGACACACTTTGGCACTACAGAGTATATCTGCTTAAAGAGACATATGGCTGGAATGGCAGAAGTCAGAATTTGAAGGGTATTAGTAAAACCATGTGGGGGAAGCTTGAACTGATACTGGCTTAGGCTAATTGTAGCTCTTCTCTGATTTCACATGTTCCAAACCTGTAAAATAATTTTAACTACTGAAACCATAATTCCCTTTTTTTTTAAGATAGTTTTAAATCACATTACTAGGAAATGAGATTGAAAATAAATCCACTTACTAATAATGATGTGGGTGCCTCTAAAATATTAACAGTATAAAGTTTAAAAATGTGGTAAATGATCAACCCAAACCTTTGAACTGCTGGTGTGATTTGTTGCTGTTATTGTTGAATCACACCTTGTTGAAGTAAGAAAGGCCCTCTGAGAAAATCAGAGATCAACTTCA